ATAATACGACCTTTGTTGCTCCTTTTATTGTCTAGAGCACTGGGAGGGGGAGGGGGGGGGGGTTATTGAACCTCTTTCCTTTTTTATGTTTTCTTTCTATCTATCTACATGTCTGTTAATCATTGTTTTAACCATCATTTTGTCATTATCATCCTTATTAGTAGTAGTATTATCATGATGATTATTATTACTATTATTATTATCATTACCATTGTTATTGTTATCTTCATTACTATTTGCATTATCAATATTGTTATTACTATTATTATCACAATCATTATCGTTTTCATTTTTATTATTATTATTGTTATTATTATTACTATTGTTACCATTATATTTTTAGTATCATTATTATTACAATTATATTCATAATTGTTATTATTATTTCTATCATTAGTTACTATTGTCATCAGCATTACCACTAATGTTACTATTATTACTGTTATCATTATTAGTAATCTACTATCCTTATTACTGTCATACTTATTTTTCTTGTTATTATATTCTTTATGATTATTGTTATAATAATTATCATTGTTATAATTATTACAATTATTAGTATCATTATCATTATCATCATTGTTATTATCATTATCATCATTATTGATGTTATTACTAGTTATCATATTAATAGTATTATCAGTATTATTATCATTATCATTAGTACTGTTATAATTATTAAGATTTTCATTATCATTAGTATTATTTCATTATGATTGTTGGTACTGTTATCTTTATTATAGCCATTCGTACTGTGCTATTATCATTATCATTATTTCTATCTTTATTACCATTATTATTTCAATAATTGCTATCATTATTGTTATTATTACTGTTATCATTACTATTATGATAATTATCATTCTCATATTCATTGTTACTTTTACCATTGATATTATTGCTATTATCATCATTAGTATTACCATCATAATCATGATTATCAATAAGTATCATTATCATTATTATCAATATTTTCATTATCAACATTATCATCATTGTTACTATTATAATAATTATTATTATCATGATTATTATCAATATGATTCTTATCATTATTATCATTAGTATTATCATTGTTATTATCATCGCCATCATCATTATCATTATTATTACTATCATTGCTGTTATCATTATCAATATTGTTGTTATTATCATTATTACCATTGTTATTATCATAGTTATTATCATTATAATCATCTTGATTATGATCATTTTCATTGTTATTGTTATCATTGTATTATCATTATTTTCGTTATCATTATCACTATTATTACCGTCATTATTTTCACCATTATTACCGTTATTGTTATCATTATTATTAGTTTTATTACTCTCATAATTATTGTTACTCTTATAATTATTGTTAGCAATATCATTATCATTTTTTCTATGATTATTACCGTTATCATTAATTACTCTCATCAGTTTTTATCATCATTATTACCGTTATGAATAAACAGAAACGCACACAAAATATAAGTTTGAAGGAGAAAACAGGAACGAACGAGAGAAACACGTTGCAGATAATGAAAGAGATGAACGAATTGTCCTTCGATTTTTATTTTTATCTTATGGAACAATAACGAACCAAATTGACAGTTTCAGAGCATCGTTTCCTTTTCGCTCTGTCCATGTGTTAGGGGTAATTATGAAGTGTGGGTATTTCTTTACTGGGTGTCTATCAATCTATCTTTCTATCTATAAGTATTTATCTGTCTATATGTATTATAGAACCACACGCACACGCACACACAAACACAAACATACACATACATATCACACACACATACACAAGCACAAGCACAATCTCATTTACACTCACGCTCTCTTTTCTACTTTCCCTCTCCCACTCTTAATTTCGGTGATTTATATGAATGTATGGTCCTAATATATAGCTACCGAATTTAGGTAATTATGCCGTAAATTGATTATTTTCATAATTATGGTTACCTTTTCTTCCATGGGCATTTCGTCATTTCTGGGCATCTCATTGTCTTGGAGGGACAGTCCGTCACTTATGGCCAAATGATAGTGCCTTCCCCTGTTATAGTGAGAACGGCCGTGATAGTGCCGTTTGTTGTATGGTTCGTGACGCCCCACCGCGTAACCGACCAGCGCCGCGCCCTTCAAAACCGCCAAGCCACCCACTAAGGCACGAAACATGTTTTTTGTAATGTGTATTTCTTTATATAAATATATGCATATAAAGACTGACGTGATATCTGTGATTCATTTCTTTGAATATCTTATCCTAATACATAGCTACCGATTTTGGGTAATCACACTTAAGTTGTTTATTCCATAATTAGGGACACCAGTTCTTCCATGGACATTTTGTCATTTCGGGGCAACTCATCATCTTCGTCAACGATTTGTTGTTCCTGTCGAGGCTCCTCATCGACAGGCCGTTCTTCGCCCACGGGTTGTTCCATGGGCGGCGTGGCACTGAAGTCCTCCTCGCGTTCAACGTCTTCTCGGAAGAGGTCAGAGGCGCAACCCACACTCTCTGAAGGAGGCCGCTCAGCTGCTGTTCGCTGAGGGAACATTTGGGGAACAGCTTGTTGCAGACGGACGGGTCGCGGGTCTTTGTGCCGACGTCCGTGGCGTAGACGAAGGCGGCGTTGTAGGAGGACATGGTGTCAGTGTTGTTGGAGAACATGTCGACGATGAGGTCCTCCTCTGGCGTGAGGCTGGCGGGACTCCTCGTCTGGAGGTTGCAGAGCATCTTGAGGATGCAGCCGTCGGGGTCGAGGTGCCCCACGGTTGACAGGAGCATGTTCTTGCCTTCATCGGCGTCTTGTTCGGTGTCGGGGTCGACGGAACGGCCGTAGCGATAGTGTCTTCTCCCGTTATAACCTCCGTGATAGCGAGAACGGCCGTGATAGTGCCGTCTGTTGTATCGCCGGTGACGCTCTACCGCGTAATCGACCAGCGCCGCGCCCTTCAGAAGCCAAGCCACCCACTACGCCACCAACGGACAGAGAGGCTTCGCAGGACAAAACGGCCCAAGACACCAGCAGGATCGCCAAAGGGAGGTTTCGTGCGTTCATCTGCCGAAGGAGAAAGATAGTGTTTGTGTCGACTCATTTTTAAGCATCAGCACCTGTGGGTGCATTTGTACGTGTGCAAATTGTAAAAATATTAAAGATACAATCAATTATTATCATTGTTATAATACTAATGATATTGCTAATCATTCATAGCAAACGTCACGCGCACTAGTCATATTGTTATGAGTATTAGCATAGTATCGATAATAACTGCATAATAGTGATAAGATATTAACGGTGGTGAATATGCAAGTAAATTGGTATAAACACTTAACACACGTGCTCTCTCTCTCTCTCTCTCTCTCTCTCTCTCTCTCTCTCTCTCTCTCTCTCTCTCTCTCTCTCTCTCTCTATATATATATATATATATATATATATACATATATATATATGTATATATATATACATGTATGTACACATAATATACATATATACATATATATGTACACACACACATAGATATATATACATATATATGTTTAAGCAGATGTGTGTTGTGTGGGGGGGGGCAGGGGGCGAGGGCACGAAAATTACTAGTTTCCTGAGACTTTAAAACGCACCACGATGACGATCGTTCCTACCTTGACTTTGGGACAACACCGCAAGAACTGCTTAGAGTTGAGCATCAGTGTCCCAATATATGCTCTGCGCTCGACGCTGACACAGACAGGGAGATAGGAGGGGGAGGGTGGGGGTCGGAACTCCTAGTTAATCCTTCTCTTGCCCCCTCCTTATTATCAGATAATTAATGTGCTAGGAGTAATTATCATTAATGTCAATATTACTGATGCTATTATTATGATCATCAGTTCCCCTCTAACTTATCCCTGCATTTTCCCTCCGCATCCTCTCTCCCTACTGCTCCACTTGCAAGCTCGCAATGGAGAACGGGCAATTAATGTACCTTTAATGTTATTAGTATTGAAATTATTATTGTCATTATCAGTAAAATTGACGTATTTCATCATCATTACTACTACTATTATCATTATTTTCATTGTCATTGTATATTGTAATGTTCTTATTATTACTAATATTATTCTTAAGATTATTGTCTTTTCATATTATTATTAAGATAATTATGCTTTTCATAATTATTGTCATTGCTTAAATCATCATTTTTATAATTACTATCACTATTATTTGTTGTCATTATCATATTTTTTCTCTTTGGCGTTATCACTGTTATCGTTATTGTTGCTATCAATATTTCTTATGTTTACCATTATCATTGTGGCTGATACCATTATCATCATCACTATTATTTATATAATTGCCATTGTTTTCATGATTATATTGTTATCTTTATCATTAGTATTATCATTACTATTGTTATTGTTATCATCATTACCATTATTATTATTACTATCATTACTGGCATATATGTGTCTATATAATTATCATTAGTATAACTATGATCATTATCATAATCATCATTGCTATTTTCATTATTGTTATTGCTAAGATTATCATCATCATTAGTGCTCTATTTATTATTGTTATCATTATTATGATTATTGGTATTATCATTATTATCATTATCATTACTATCAGCATCATTATTGTTGCAATAATTATCATCATTATTATTGTCAACATCGTTACTATTGTTATCATTATTGATATTTTTATTATAAAAATTATCATCACTTTTATAAATATGTTGCTATTACTATCATAATTGTTATTACCATTATCATCATCATTGTCATTATCATTATTATTATTGTTATTAGTACCATTTTCATTATCAATATTATTGATATCTTTATTGTTATTGGTCTTATGATTATTGTTATTGTTATAACTATTATCATTATTTTCATTATTTGTGGTTGTACTATAATTATTGTATCTATAGTGTTTCATTATTTTCATCATTATTTTCATTATGATGATTATCATTATCATTATCATTATCATTGTTATCATTATTATCAT